GAGGCAATTATTAATCATATAAAATTATTCCATAGTCTAGTATTGTTTAGCATAAAGGCCTATATTATCTCTCAGTTCTCAAGACTGTGAAAGATTGCTTAGTACCAAATAGATAGGGAGGTAGAAATATAGATAGATAGATAGATAGATAGATAGATAGATAGATAGATAGATATAGATGATAGATAGATAAATACATTACTGACACAAAAGTTTCTGAGAAAGGAAATTTACTTCATACTCAGCTTTGCATCTAACCAACCAGTGCATTTAAAAAGAAAATTAGAATTAAAACTCTGACCACAACCATTTCCTTAATTAAAGTAATTATCTCTTATTGCCCCGGTGGAATTCTTTATTGCCTAATGTTTGATATTGAGGAGGGCATGGACCATTCTAAAGGTTCTCATTTAGTATAGCTGCAAAAATTAGTTAAAGGATAAACTTTAATCAATGTCCTTCCCCGTCCTTTCATGAAAAGGACAACACACCCCACTCACACGGAACACTCATACCAATTATATGCTCAGGTACAAAGAAAGTAACCACGGTACAGTCTTTAGAATCAAACTATACTATCTGTAATTTCCCATTTCCACTATGGTATTTCCATTTCACTCACATACATCTTAGGTCCTCCTTGTCTCTCGGAGGGATTACGGTACATTGAGTTCCTGTAACTAACAGTTCTAAGATAATTTGCATGCCAACTCAGGCCACTTTACTCAAACTATTGATTCTCCCCCAAAAAAGTCTGGACCAACATATTTTGGTCTCCCTATCAGTCTTTTTCAGATTTATGGCTTTAAATAAGTTATTAAATTTAGCTCATTCTTTAACTATTTTCTGTTCTAAACTGCAATTCTCATGATTAGATTTGAACTCCACTGGACTAGAATAGATAAATTTCATATGCCATTGGTCTATGAGTTGGGGTTGGGGTTGGAACAGGTCACTTAGCTCTCAAGTATTGATAAATTGCTACCAACCTCTTAGTGGAAACTTCATTTATTTCTTTTTTTAACTGCATATTTAAAAGTAATGAAATAATTTTAATCAGTGGGCCTGTTGTTATGTCTACTTTATCTTTTCCTTTTTGAATTAAGTCCACTTTTTTCAATTGACAGATAAAATTGTATGTACCTATCATGTATAGCATAATGTGGAGTGATTAAATGTAACTAACTGATAAATTCATTATCTCAAATAGTTAACATTATTGTGGTGCAAACACATATCTGCTGTCTGTGTTTTTCAATAATAAAATACACTGTCATTGACTACAGTCAGCATGATGGATCTCTTGAGAATATTCCCGCTATTTAACTGTAAATATGTACCGTTGGACCAACATTTCCCCAAACGCTTTTGTCTTCTAATCACTTCAGCTTCTGGTAACCACCATTCTACTCTCTACTTCTATGAAATCAACATTTATAGATCCCACATGAGTGAGATGATGTGATATTTGTCTTTCTGTGGCTTATTTTACTTAACATCATGGCCTCTAGGTTCATAAATGTTGTAGCAAATGAGATAATTTCCTCTGTTTATGGCTGAATTATTGTATATATGTACTGTATTTTCTTTATCCATTCATTAGTTGATGGACATTTAGCTTGATTCCATATCTTGACCCTACTGTGTGTGCTGCAGTAAACCAGGCAGTGCAGACATCTATTCAACATACTGATTTTATTTACTTTGGGAGTGCTGAGTCATACAGTACTTCTAGGTTTAATTTTTTGAGGAACCTCCATACTGTTTTCTGTAATGATTGTATTAATTTATATTCCCAACAACAGTGTATAAGTGTTCTGTTTTTTCTGCATCCTCATCTGTACTTATCTTTTATCTTTTGATAACAGCCAATCTAACATTGTATCTCCATTGTATCTTATTGTGGTTTTGATTTACATTTTCTGGTGATTGGTGATATTGAACATTTTGTAATTTATGTGTTGGTCATTTGTATGTATTCCTTTGAGAAAGTCTATTCCTTTATTGTGTCCATTGTTTAATCTGGCCATTTTTTGGTATTCCTTTGAGAAAGTCTATTCGTTTATTGTGTCCATTGTTTAATCAGGCTATTTGTCTTCTTGCTGTTTGAATTTGTTAATATTTTGAGTATTAACTTATTATCAGATGTATAGTTTGCCAGTCTTTTCTCTTTTTCTGCAAGCTGTCACTTCACTCTGTTGAGTCTCATTTGCTGTACAGAAGTTTTTAGTATGGCACAATTCTATTTGTCTATTTTTGCATTTGTTGTCTGTACTTTGAGGTCCTATTCTAAAAAGTCATTACCCAGACTAATGTCTTGGAGCTTTTCCCCTATTTTTTTTTTCCTTATACTTTTACAATTTCAGGTCTTATATTTAAGTATTTAATTCATTTTGAGATAATTTATCTATATATTAGATCCTATATATCTAAGACATAAGGATCTAATTTCATTCTTCTGCACGTAGGTAACCAGTTTTGTCAACATCATTTGTTGAAGAAACTTTTCCTCGTATGTATTCTTGGTGCCTTTGTCGAAAATCAGTTGGCTGTAAATGCATAGATTTATTTCTTGGCTGTCTATTCTGTTCCATTGGTCTATGTGTCTGCTTTTATGTCAGCACCATGGTGTTTGCATGTTTTGAAGTTAGGTAGTGTGATTTACTTACAAATTATCCAGCCTCAGCTGGGCGCAGTGGCTCACGCCTATAGTCCCAGCACTTTGGGACGCCCAGGTGGGTGGATCACCTGAGGTCAGGAGGTCAAGACCAGCCTGGCCAACATGGTGAAACCCCATCTCTATTAAACATACACAAATTATCTGGGCGTAGTGGTGTGCAACTGTAATCCCAGCTACTCAGGAGGCTGAGGCAGGAGAATCGCTTGCACCTGGGATGCAGAGGCTGCAGTGAGCCGAGATCACGCCATTGCTCTCCAGCCTGGGCAACAAGAGCAAAATTCCGTCTCAAAAAAAAAATTCCAGCCTCAGGTTTTTCTTTATAGCAATGCAAGAATGGCCTAACACTATCTTTAATTTCTTTTAATAGTAATTTGTCACTTTGTATGTATAGGTGTCATAGTTTTCCTAGAATGGTTATTTCCAAGGATTTGTTTGGTGCTAATGTAAATAATATTCTTTTAAATATTCTAGTTTTTACATTTTTTATTTTATATGTAAATGGGATACTTGTGTATTAAATTTACACCCAATGGATTTTTCAGATTCACTTGGTAATTAAAATATTTTATCTATAGATTATTTTAGATTTTCTGTGTTTATATTATAAGGTTTTCTTTGGATAAAGATTCCTTTTTAAAGTGTATTTTTTTATTATTTTTTTGTAGCCATACTTACTGACTACTATTTCCACAGATACAGAAAAATGTTAATAGTGAATTTTCTAAATGTCTTCACAATATTAGGAGGAAAGACTAGAAAATTCAATATTAATTATTTTCATTATATATGTTTTGCTGATCCCTTTCATCAGATTAAAACACTTCAAATCTATTTCTAGTACCTAAAAATCTGTGTGTCTTGTGTGTGTATATGCTTATAAATCAGAGAATTGAGTCAAATAGTTTGACTATTTTACATCCCTCATATAAATGGAATCATGAAATATTTGCCTTTTTGTGATTCGCTTATTACACTTAGCATATGTCCTTAAATTTCACCCATGTTACTACATATAACAAGATTTCCTTCTTTTTTCAGGCTGAATAATGACTGCCATGTTTTGTTACTAATTTTTGCTGACCTCATAAAAGGAATCAGCATGTGTAGGACTGAAGTTGTATCTTCCTAAGTACTTGCTTGATTGCAAAGAGGAAGCCATCAAAACCTAAATTTTCTTTATTAAACACTTTTTAACTTTGATTACAGTTGCTTTTAAATTACAGTTACATGCAGATATTTAAATTCTTCTTAGGTCAATTTTGGAAAATAGAAATACTTCTATTTCATTTAAATGTTTAAATTTCTTACTATTAATAGTGACTGTGAGTGTGTGCCTTTTCACTTCTGATATTGTTAATGCGTGCCTTCAAAATTTTTCTCTAGTATTAGTATATTCTTAAAGGTTTATTAATTATATTGGTTTCCTCAAAGAAATAACTTTGGCTTTGTCTATTCATAATATTATAGTTTATTTAATTTTCATTACATTTTTCCTTTTTCTATATTATTTCTTACATTCAATTAATTTAAAAATAGTTATAGGCTCATATTCAATTTTCCTTTAACATCTTCAAGTAGTTTCAGATTCTCACTAAGCAAGGACCAGCTACGTCAGTCATTCTTTTTTCCATACTTTTACAGCATACAGTTCAAAGTATATTTAAATTTCCATTGAATGTTCTTCTTCGATCCATGAATTGTTTAGAAATGTATTGTTTATTTCAAATACTTGGAGAATTTATATTTTATAATATATTTATCTTAAATTTTCTTTAGTTAGAGAACATAATCTGAAATATTTCAGTTATGAGAAATTGTTTAGACGTGTTTTATGCCCAAGCATGTGAAATATATCAGTAAATCTTTCACATGGACTTAAACTATGTATTTTGAAGTTGTTGTGTATATCTAATAGATCATTTTTGTCAATCGTGTTGCTCAAATCCTTAACTATATTTGATGATTTTTCTACTTCTCTTTTTGTTCTATCAATATTTGCTTCGTACATGTTGAAGTTATATTAAAAGTTGCAAAATATTTTAATTATAATGATTATAACTTCATAATAGCTTGACCTTTTGCATTAGGATACATTCTTCTTTTGTCTTTACTAATGCTGTTAGACTTAAAGTCTATTTGCTTTATTTTGTAGAAAGTTCTTGTGGTGTATATTTGTTCATCCTTTACTTTGAATGTTTATATACCTGAAAATGTATCTTCTTTCAGCAGCATATGGTGAAAAATTTTTCCAAATTTTAGGATCATTGTCTTTGATTGATTACAGACCATGACACTATAACATAATAACATACCATTGCAATTTGAAATATAACAGTGGCTTTTAATGATGGTACCACCTCATTACATTACGGTATTTCCTTATACCATGCCCCTACTGACAGAATTAGTGTCTACTGACCAACAGAAATAGTGTGAGATAACTTAAAAAAATAGAAATTTGTAATGTAAAACTCATTATCATGCATTTTTAATAAGTAAATTATCTGTGAAATTATACAAATATATATATCATATTTTCTGGTCAAATTAAAAATCACAATATGCAGGTTTGAGTCCCAGGAAAGCAGGTAATGTACATTCTTTTTTTTTTTTTCCACTTTTTTGTGTCCATCCATCGCAGATAATTACTCCAGAAGACTGAATAAATGAAAAAAGTCACCTTTATCAACAAGTAAGTTACAATGACAGCTAGTTCAACAAATAGCATGCAAGTAACCTTATTGCAAAGTAGACCTATATCATGCAATTTATTTTTAGCCAACATTTTAAATACACAAATGCTAAAGAAGTAAAATTAACTAGAGAAAAGAATTTTAAAATAATGCAGCAAGAAATTTTTAAGTGAAAAATTTCAGTATCGTTTATATCTTGATCATGTCTATTATAAATTCTGAAAAATATAATTCTGAAAAATATTCTTCAATTTATTTTTACTATATATAGCTATATGACTGTCACTACTTAATATGTATTCATCTATGCATTCTCTCTCTCTCTCTTCCTCCCCCCCACCAACCCCTCATCCTTAAAATATTTGGAACTCACTCATGTCCTTAGCAGGGACATGGATGAAGCTGGAAGCCATCATTCTCAGCAAACACACACAGGAACATAAAACCAAACACTGCATGTTCTCACTTATAAGTGGGAGTTGAATAAAGAAAACACATGGAAACAGGGAGGGGAACATCACACACCAGAACCTGTCAGGGGTTGGGGGCAAGGGGAGGAAGAGCATTGGGACTAATACCTAACGCACATGGGGCTTAAAACCTAGATGATGGGTTGAAAGGTGCAGCAAACCACCATGGCACATGTATACCTATGTAACAAACCTGCACAGTCTGCACACGTATCCCAGTACTTCAAGTAAATTAAATTTTAAAAAATGAAAGAAACTTACAGTGATATCATGGCATCTCTATTGTCCAGACTACCCTTTAGGTTCACTCTCACTTTCAGGTTGCCTGCATATTAAAAATAAAAATAATATTACACTTTCTTCAGGATGATTTTACAAACCTCTGTATTATCTATCAGTCTTGAAACAGTTCTGAATTTTTATCTAAGAACTGGGTTCACCCATTATTTGAGAATACCCTATCACTAAGAACATCTCTGCCCTGGTAATCAAGACGAATAATGCACATCTTTGCATCACTGAATATGAAAAAAAGCACAGTGATATATGTTTACCTGAAAATAAACTTAGGTCACTTTTATATTCATAATATTATTGGTTAAGTATCTTTAAACTCTTTTGCCATTCGTTTTTCAACCCTATTAATTTCTATTCATTTTACTAGCTATGTTTTCTTCCCTAAAGATATTTGATATCAGTTTTTCCACAATAGTTATCCAATATAAGAAAACCACTTTAGCATACTTAAGTATTGACTGTTATGACTAGTTTAGGTGCTGTATATTATTTCAGCAATTTCAAATCAACTTTTAAAATATATTCCCTCCTCATTTACATTGCCATATTATTTTAAGTAGTTTAATGAAATTCAATTCATTTCAAGTAAAATGAAGGACATAGTTAAATAACTCCTAGGCAGAAATCATTTTATAGCATTTTCCTTGAAAATAAATAATCTAGTTTTAATGTTTACTTGTATTCTTGTAGCATATATTCAGATATTTTTATTTTTAATAAAAAGTTATTTGTTTTATATTTTCTGTAGAATAGATGTGGCTATTATCTAGATTTTATCTTTTATTACATATTAATTTTTAATCTTTTTCTACTTCTAACTGCTTGTGTTTCCATTTACATTACTACCAAAGAAAAGTTAAATTACTTTCCTGGGTTTTCCTATTACGTTTCATTAAAATAGGATAAAAATTCACTAAGATATATAAATATTACAAAGTTATTTAAGTATTATTAAGTTAAAATACATATTTAACAAGATCAAATAATAAAAGAAAGTAGATAGATTTAAAGATAAACTTTAATGGACAGCTAAACTTTAACTAATCTTGCCCCTAAAAACTCCAGATTCTCATATGATTAAAATTGCAATTTTTTTAAGTTTAAAAAATTAATATTCAATTTATTAAAGTTATAAATAAAAGGAAAAACCTAGTTTGTCCTTTCACTTTTAATTTCAGCTTAAATAACTTATTATTTTAATTATAGATCTAGAAAATTTCTCAATCACTTCTAAGAAGGTTCTAATCAATTTTGGTCTCATTTATGAACTTAAACTCCTTTAAACTTTTCATATTGCATTATTCATCACATGTAATATATTTGCTTAACTTCCTAAGTATAATTGGTTGACAAACCTTTTTTTTTATTATTATACTTTAAGTTCTAGGGTACATGTGCACAACATGCAGGTTTGTTACATATGTATACATGTGCCATCTTGGTGTGCTGCATCCATTAACTCGTCATTTACATTAGGTATATCTCCTAATGCTATCCTTCCTCCCCCTTCCCACAATAGGACCTGGTGTGTGATGATCCCCTTCCTGTGTCCAAGTGATCTGATTGTTCAAGTCCCACCTATGAGTGAGAATATGCGTTATTTGGTTTTCTGTTCTTGGCATAGTTTGCTGAGAATGATGGTTTCCAGCTGTATCCATGTCCCTACAGGACACAAACTCATCCGTTTTTATGGCTGCATAGTATTCCATGGTGTATATGTGCCACATTTTCTTAATCCAGTCTGTCAGTGATGGACATTTGGGTTGATTCCAAGTCTTTGCTATTGTGAATAGTGCTGTAGTAAACATATGTGTGCATGTGTCTTTATAGCAGCATTACTTATAATCCTTTGGGTATATCCTCAGTAGTGGGATGACTGGGTCAAATGGTATTTCTAGTTCTAGATCCTTAAGGAATCGCCACACTGTTTTCTACAATGGTTGAACTAGTTTATAGTCCCACCAACAGTGTAAAAGTGTTCCTATTTCTCCACATCCTCTCCAGCACCTGTTGTTTCCTGACTTTTTAATGATTGCCATTCTAACTGGTGTGA